CTGAAAAATACAATAAATCTACAACAGGCCTACTTCCTAGCACTTGGCCCCTAGCCTTGAAAGTTACGAATTCAAGTGTTCATCCAAGTACTTTTCAAAAGGTTGAGGTTTCCTGCCTCGACTACACAGCTAGGCAGTGCATTCCAGATTCTTACCACATTCTCAGTGAAAAATAAATTTCAAATCTCCTCTAAACCTCTCGCCTTGCACCTCAAAATTACGTGCTCATGTTATTATCCCCTTCAACTATCGACCCGGTTTATGCCCTTCATAATCTTAAGCAATCAAGGACCCCCATTAACCTCCTCTGCTCCAAAGAAAGCCTGAGGTTTTTCAGCATCTCTTCATAGTTGCTCCATCCCAGGAAACATCCTGGCGAATTTCTCTTGCACACCTCCAATCATATTCTTCCTGCAGCCAGTACTCCAACTGTAGCCTTATCAAAGTTTTGTACAGTGCCCACATAATATCTCTTATAATCTATGCCATGATCAATAAAGCCAAGTGTCTCCTGTGTCTTAACTATCCTATTAAATTGACCTGCCACATTCAGGGATCTGTGGACAAGCACTCCAAGATCACTCTGTTCCGCAGCTTCCCAGTGTCCTGCTGGTCATTGAGTACTCCATTGTCCGGTTACTACTTCGAGTATACCCCCTTACACTTATCCAGGTTAAATTCCATCCACCATCTGACTAATACATGTATATCCTTCTGTAACCCAAGACCTTATTCACCATCAACCACCAGTCAATCTTCTTGTCATCTGCAAACTTACTTGTCATACCCCAAATTTTCTTCAATACTGTAGATACAGAAAGTCAGAGTCATATTGCAAGGAAACAGACCCTTTAGTCCAACCAGTCCATACTGAACATAATCCCAAACTAAACTAACCCCACCTGCCTGCTCCTGGCCCATATCCCTCCAAACCTTTCCTATTCATGTACTTATCCAAATGTCTTTTAAAAGTTGTAATTGTACCCACATCCTCAGGAAGTTCATTGCACACAAGAACCACCCTCTAAAAAATTTGTCCCTCACATCTTTTTTTAAATTCTCTTTCCTCTCATTTTAAAACTGTGTCCCCTAGTCTTGAAATCCACTATCCTAGGGAAAAGACAACTACCATTAACTCTAGATCTCTCATTATTTTATAAACTTCTATCAAGTTGCCTGTCAACTTCCTACATTCCAGTGAAAGTTCCAACCTATCCAGGTTCTCTTTATAACTCAAACCTTCCATACCCAGCAACACCTTGGTAAGTCTCTTCTGAACTCTGTCCAGCTTAATAACATCCTTCCTATAACTGGGCCTCCGGAACTGGTCACTATTCCAGAAGAGGCCTTACCAATGTCCTAAACAACCTCAACATGACTTCCTAGTTCCTATACTCAAAAGGCCACTATTGGAATACTGCATGCAATTCTGGTCTCCCTGTTATAGGGAGGATGTTGTGAAACTTGAAAGGGTTCAGAAAAGATTTACAAGCATGCTGCCAGGGTTGGAGGGTTTGAGTTAAAGGGAGAAGCTGAATAGGCCAGGGCTATTTTCCATGGAGTGTCGCAGGCTGAGGGGTTACCTTATAGAGATTTTAAGATCATGAGGGGCATGGATAGGGTAAATAGACAAGGTCTTTTCTATGGGGTGATGGAGTCCAAAACTACATGGCATAGGTTTAAGGTGAAAGGGGAAATATTTAAAAGGAATTTAAGGGGCAACTTTTTCACACAAAGGATGGTGCGTGTGTGGAACGAGCTGCCAGAGTGCAGGCTGGTACAATTACAACATTTAAAAGTTATCTGGATGGGTACATGAACAGGAAGGCTTTAACAGGAATATGGGCCAAATGCTGGCAAATGGGACTCGATTTACTGGGGACGTCTGGTCAGCATGGATGAGTTGGACCAAAGGGTCTATTTCTGTGCTGTATATCTCTATGACTATGATTGCGCAATGAACATGTACCGAACATCTTGTTAACCACCCTTTCTACATACGATGCAAACTTAAGAATTATGTATCAGGAATAATCAGGGACTCAGCACTGATTTCTGTGGTACAACACTGGACAGCAGCCTCCAGTCACACAAACAGCATTCTATCATTGCTCCGTCTCCTACTGCTAAAACAATTTCCGATCCAACTTGCAAAGTTACCCTGGATCCCATGTGCTTTTACCTTCTTTATCAGTCTTCTATTTGGGACCTTGACAAAGGCTTTGCTGAAATTCATCAAATTCACCATCTTTATTGACACATGGTCACCTCCTCAAAATATTCAATCAAATCTATTAGGCTTGACCTCCCTCAGACAAAGCCATGATGACTACACCTGATCAAACCTTGCCCCTCCAAGTGGGGATGATTTCTCTCCTTCAGAATCTTCTTTAATAGTTTTGTTATCACTGATGAGATCCTCACCTGGTCCTTAACACCCTAGTTTATCACTAGCACTTCCCTTGTGGCTAGAGGACAGCGAATGTGGTTCCACTTTGCAGGAAATGTGGTAGAGGACTAGACAGGAATTAAAAATTTGGGTCAGAACCACTGCAATTTCCTCCCTCATCTCCCAACAGGAGTTATCATTATCACTTGTTTATTAATGTTTCAGTAGGGATGGAGATTCTTGTAAATTGACACATGCCCGGAGACACCCTGCTATAAATTTTCAATAAAAAAAAGCAAAGCAATGTCATCTTCCAAAGGTTTTATTTTACAAATCAGCATACAGCAGGGAATAAGGCTGCAATACTGTAGATCACAGCCTACATCAGACGCTGTAGTCTCCAAAAATCCTCCAAAGAAGTGGGGACGGACTTGTACACCAAGCATAAAATATGAAGAACACATGTATTTAATATCAAATTAATGTGGCACTTTTTTTGAAAGGAATTGTACAAAGATTCTTTTAGCTACAGTCAAAGCTCTTTAAATCTGATGAATTAATTGACTTTGGCATACACAAGTTCATTAAATTCATTCTGAGCCTACTTACCCAATAGCATGATCATTAAGGATCTGAATCAGGATCAAATGTAGCACATCTGCTCTCAGAATGATCCCTTCAAAAGATCATTTGGAATTTAATATTGCACATTTGTTTTTGAATGATTTGATGATACTTGGTGAAGTAACAGCATCCCACAATTTGATAATTAAACTGCAAAAAGCAACAGCCGACTTATTTCCACCCAATGGACAGTTGATTCACTGTCAGCCATAAACCAATTACATTCAGCACAAATAATCTTTGAATGCATTGTTGAAGCATGCACTTAAACACTGAAGTATTGACATTAGGCCCCCTACTATAACTGCAATAAGGTTGACTTTTTGGTGCAGGCCACCTTGAAATCATTGTAACATGTCTCATGCTAAAAAGCTGAATTCTCTACTTTGGCCAAAATGCCTTATCCAAAATTTCTTAATTCATAAAAATATTTAATCCCCATCCATACATCTATTGTCATGGACAAGCACAAAATCTCCTGCAGGAGACGGATGTTCAGCAATGTGTTATGTTTAAAAGTTACCACAGACTCCAATTTCAACCTGTTGACAATGTAGTACAGCACTACTGTGAATCTTGTCTTCTCATGAACTGTTATTTTCATTAAAACCGTTTTTAAACCTTTCCACTATTTGGATTAGTGTCAAAATTCATGGGTGTTTTATCCACGTTGCTGAGTTTAACAGATACTCATGTTTATGTTGCTGTTGATAAAGATTGGTTGAAACTGATAATTCTGGCAGATGTTTTTTGGTAGGCTGTGAAATCTTGGTCTTCTGCCACAACACCAAATTATGGAATGAAAACAAAGGCACTATGCCAATGAAAACTTGATCTGGTATCGGTGTCGGACTCAGGTTTTGGTTTGGCCTGCTAACGTGCAATATCGGAATATGCATTTCTGGGGACAATGCAATTATTTCCATGATTTGTAGGGTCCATTCTGACACATGCTAGTTTAGGCTCACAGCTGACCCTTATTCTGATGGTGCATTTGATATTGGGATCTTACATACACCAGATTCAACTTGTTTCATTCTCACACCCGTCTTCCATTAATACAGAATTCTTTCACCACAGCAGATATTTGATGAGTTGGTGATTTTCTTTTAGCTTGAAAGCAACTTGATACTCCATTGGTTTTTCTAGAGGAACTAGTTCTGCTCATCATACACCATGCCAAATGAAGTCTGCTCTGTGTGGGCACGTTGAACTCTCGAGCATCTTAGGCCCAACACAACCTATATCAGGATTATTGTAAGTCAGCACATGGGATTAAAGCATGCATTTCTGGCTGAAAAATTAAGACAACTCCTAATGAGAGTATCGCATTCCATAGCTTAAAACAGGTGCAGCACCTACATACTGGAAGTTTGCAAATATCATTATTTTTGATACTAAAAGCATGAAGTCTTCTTCGATACCATGATCTACAGTGAGTTAAAGAAAGGAAAAGCAATGCCAGAGATGGGATCAGCCTTTGAGAGAGAGATTGAGGGTGGTGGGTGCAAGGGAACATGGTTGAGAAACTGACAGGCAGTAGGAGACATATGAAGGTTAAACAAATGATGGCCAAGGCGGATTACAATCAAGCCCCAAAGAGGGGCAATCCGTCCAAATAGTGGCAGTGGGAGATGCTATTTACACGTTGAAGATGGGAAAACGATCAGGTTACCAGTGGGGCACTTTCAGGGCAACGTATCTCTATTTTACTTCCATTGTGTCTCCAGCATGCATTCTGGACAGACCGGGATAAGGAGAACTCTGATAACTTAAGGGCATCATGGAAGTCACATTCTTTAGTTTGAACTAGGATTGCTAAGGAATGTCATAATCAGTTTTGTAAATACCAAGCTATTGCTTCATTTTTACAAAGTGATATAGCCAAGTGATATCAGCATAGAATGTTACTAAGTTTTAATGGAGAGAATCTAACAAGCAAGCCTAACTCTCATCATGCTTCCTGCCAAACAATAACTGTACTTACAATTTTGTTTCATAATCCTTCCATGCCTTGTCAAAAGGTTTCTTCAAGTCCTGTTTAATACAAATAATATTGAATATTAGAAATAATTTACCAAATAACTACATTTTGTTTAAAAAAAAAGGCCATTTCTGTAGTACAGAGGAGTAAGGATTAGGCAGACCATTTAGGTCATTAGCTCACCTTGCTAAAAAAAAAAACACAACTGATTTCGGTCTCTAATATGACAGAAAAGTACTTGCCTCTTGGAATCTTGTACAGCTATCCCATCTAAGTGTTCGTCACCAATTTCCTGATGGAGCTTTGTTGTCTTTGCATAGTCTGAATATGTACTAAGCATTAACACGTACTGTAGCCCACATCATAATGTTTTGCAGTCGCTAAGGAAACAGTCACAAAATTCAAGGTGCCCGATAAGGCAAGATCCTCTTTCTGAAGCTCCATCGCATATTTATTTGGTTTTCTAATAAATATCAATACCTTTACTGCTGATCAAATTTGTTGACACAAAGCTAATGCATAGGATCTGTCAGTCACCTTTGTGCGTATGGATCCAAAAATGGTTGCATAATGTCCCTAATATTCATGACAAACTTCACCAGTATACAAATCTTGTACTGTTTCTTTTACAACATTTAAAAATAATTATCCACAATACTTATTTGAAAGAATTCTTTTAGCTTCTGCAGGATAATTTCATTGCTATTAAATAAAGCCCAGTTTAGATTGTATCCAATACGGTCATTCTACAAGAGGCAATTCCACAAACAACAGCTAGTAGGAGCTGGACTTGCTGATAAATTTCGTTCTGTCTCCAACCTTGATGCTTTCTCCTGATCACCTCATCAGGGGCTGATCCATACATTCATTAAGTTGAATGCTCTCACAATCACTCCAAGTGGTAAACGGAAAAGGTAACCTAACCAATGTCACAGGGAAGAATCACCCTGAACATAAACATGAGACAATTTGTCTGTCTTCAATGTTCCCACAAAGAAAAACCGTTTCTCATGCACCTGTTAGTTCCACTTACTTTTAAAGATGGAAACAGCTCCAGTAAACAATTTTTGAAACTCTAGTCATTCTCTTTCCAGAGTGTCCTCCATTCAAAGCAGTAATTTTCATATTTGGTCCATCGTCAAAAATTAAAAACAAAAAGATGTGACCTTTATACAAGAAATTGTTTGTACTCAAGTCCCTGATATTCTCAATTAAAATGAAGGCACAAAATTACATACTGTGTGACCTGATTTACCAAGATGTTTGACTTTCCACAGGATTGCAGGATTGCTCATCTCATGTATTCCCTCATGAAAACCTCAAAGATGTTACTGCTCGCTCTTCTTCCAAAGATAACTATTCACCTCTATTCTGGTTTTCAAGTGCTTCCCCAATAGCTCCCTTGCTGATCTGTACTGCAATTTTTTTTTTTTTTTTTAAAATACACTTTGCATCCTACATTATACTTTAGTCTTTGCTCCCTGCTCATCTGACTGTCCCAGTGGCACACTTTCCACATTAATTTCATTACACTTCCCTCTCCCCACCAAAACAAAAGAAGGTACAAAATAATCAAGGGAAGGGGAAGGAACTTGATGCATTTAATATGAAACAGATAGTAATGGAGAAAGATAGATATAGGGGGTATCCTGGACCTGATGATGGTTTTTACCCCAAGGTTTTACAAGTAAAGGATGAGGAAGTTAAACATGTAGCCATAACTTTCTGAATTTCTCCAAATTCAGGAACTGTATTAACAATAAACCTCAACACAATTTTTATTGAGGGAATGAGGAAGATATGAGTTGACTACAGACCAATTTATCCGTCTGTTTCTCACACTGCTTCCAAAGTTGTGACTTAATTTCACCCAAGGTGGTGTTGGTGAATTTTCTAACGAACTGCTGCAATGTAATGAATGCACAGAATGCTGCTACATAGGAATTTCCAGGCAAGTGCAACAGATGTCACACACCCAATTTATGCCTGTAAACATAGAAAAGTGTGGGCATGTTACTAGAATGTCATCAGGGATTGTATAACTCAATTAAGCAAATATTAAGCTTATTAGGAAAATCAGCATGGATTTGCAACAAGCCTGTTCATGGAATCTTGCCAACATTGAAGTCCATGTCGTGACGAATATGGAGGCATCCACAAATTTTGTCCATACGAATTTAGAAAATGAATTTAAAATCAGGTTCCACATAAGTAATCACAGATGAAGGTACATGAAATTGGAGGTAATTTTGTAATATGATTAGTAATTGGTTGGGAGGGAGGAAGACAGTAGTTACGTGACAAATACCTACAAACTTTCAAAATTGTTCCTCCAAGATAGGGCTGCAAGGTGGCTCAGTGTTTATCACCGCTGCCTCACAGCACCAGGGACCCTGTCTTGGGTGACTGTGTGGAGTTTGTACATTCTCCCCATGTCTATGTGGGTTTCCTCCAGGTGCTCCAATTTCCTCCCACAGTTCAAAGATATGCAAATAGATAGATCAGTCATGCTAAAATTGGCCATAGTTTGTAGGGATGTGTAGGCTAGGTGGGTTAGCCACGGTAAACAGGGTGGGATACTCAGAGTTGGTGTGGACTCAAGGGGCCAAATGGCCCCTCTCCATACTGTAAGGATTCTATCAAGTATGGATGACAGTAGCAAAACTAACATTTATTGCCCATTTCCCAGCTCCTCTTGACAAGAGGATAGGTAGCCTCAGGTTAATCATTATACCATTGGATGAAAGGGTTGTTATGGTAGGTATTTCCAGAAACTTCATTTATCAACAAAGTGGAAATAAACATCCAAGCCAGGATGATGTGAGACATATTGGAGGTTATGATATTCCCACAACTAGTTTTCATAGTATTTTTAGGAGGCAGGGGTATAGATTTAGGAGGTACTGTCAATCATTGCCGAGTTGCTGCAGGGCATCAAAAAGATGAAGTTGTTGCCAACCAACTAGCACAGTCACAACTCTTATTTTGAGGTAGTCCGCTGTACTTGTTATTTAAAGCAGCAGGGATTAACTGCAGATATTGCATTTATGCGTTTATCAACATAAATCAGTAACTCCAGAAAACATTATTTTGAGTGTTTACACCAGTTTGAGCAGCTTTGCAGTACAGCCTTCCTAAGATTCATACGATCATCCTTGTCTGCTCTCTTCAAAACTTTTATATACTCTTTTTATTGATCCAATGTGACTTTTCTCTTTCTCACATGAGCCCTCTTTGTAGCCTCAATGCTTGTTCAGGGCGAGATCATAAGCTGCTCAATGTCGTGAATATACATGCAGCATTAAAAACAAAATAAAGATGATTAAAATACACCCCACATTTCTTCCTCTCATTCAGCAGGGTGTTTGCATTCACTAACCAAAAAGCCGACAAAAGTTCTTTTTTCTATGTCACATTCAATATCACATTACCAAAGGAAAATGCCATTTTTTAGTTAATGCTCAATGATCAGCTAAAAAAACCTCAGGGTTATGACATCATCCTCAAATGTAGAGTTATTTAGCACTTCCTGGCACCAGATTCTCTGTAAAAATGTGAACGATGTTTAGCATTTACATCAAAATTGTCACCAAATCCAAATACTTACCCCCTTGACATCTTTCAGATCTCCCTTCAATAGTGAATCCAAAGTGAAGATGACATTATGACTAAGATTCTGCAGCTGAAAATTGTATTTAGACAAAAACAAAATAAGCATATTGTCTGACAACTAGCATGACTCAGTTGATCAACAATTACACTCCAGTGCAAAAAATAGTGCAACGGGTTGTTACACCCAGGATGCAATGACAGATTTCTCAATGTTCTTGCAAGTTCAATAGCGAAATTTTTTTTCTACGCAACTAATTATTAGCAAAGTTGAAATACATTGGCTCATACTACAGGGCTGATCTTCCACAGCCCTGGAGACATTAATATTGCATGGACACATTTTATGAAACAGACAAAAATACATTTAAAAATGTCAGCCATCACAAACTTTAGAAGCACCTTCTTTTGTTCAGACTTGCACTTTTGGGGAAAAAAAAGAGAACTATATATAGTTCACTGCAAGTATGTCACTCTTTGCAGCATAAACCAGCATCTAGATACATGTTAAGTGGACCACATTACCCCTAGGTTTGTAGGTGAAGGCGTGAAGTTGCACTAATTTGCTCCCAATGTCCATCACAGCTACAAGATTTAACATGAACATATCCCAAGTGAATGGAGAGAGACTGACTCCCCTTTCATACCAACTAAGTAAAGATTAAATCACAGAATGGGGGAAAACATTTCATTCCGTAGTGGAAAAAAATTGCTACTACAGTCCTCCAAAAAGGTCAATTACAGTCCAATTCTATTTCAAAATCAGAAGGTTACATAATGTATGTAATAAATATTTTGTCACTCCCAAAATCTAAAATTATATTTTGTTCACAATATGATTGTACAGCAAATTCCTAAAAATCTAACATTGGACACGTAGGAAATGCACGATAAAGGATATCCTGGGTTACCAATGTATCCTGGATGAGAATATGTGCACCAAATGTCAGAAGGATGTGTTATCAAAGCACAAGTAAACTAAATTCAGAGACCATCTCACCACTCTTCAGCAAAGCAAAATGTTGCTGAAAAGATGTCTTGCAGCAGTCACCATCTGAATGGAGGGGAAAATGACACATACACAAGGAGATGTGTGTAACTACATGTGGGTAGGGCAGCGTTTGATATTGCAACTATTAATTTAGTGAGTTAGTAATCCAGGATCCCAGATTAATAAATCCAGAGAACATGAATACCACCATGGCACTTTGAGAATTTGAATTCAACTTTATAATCTTGCAATCAAAAGGTGATATCAGTAAAACAAAAATGTTACGGCAATCTGGCATCAAGATAAAAACCCAACTGGTTCACTGATGCTTTTTAAGAGGAGGAAACTTTAGACTTGCATTGTCCCACATAAACATAGCTGACTTATAAAGGCCATTTAATTGACCTGGAAAGCCATTCAGGTTACAACAAACTACAAATCAGGATTATTTGGTACTTCAAGATGGAGGCAGGCCACCACCTTAAGGCAACTAGAGATGAGCACTCAATCAAATTTTGCCAGAAATTTCAAAAATGATTTTTCATTTTATGAAGTGAAGAATATAGAGACTACAGGAATTAGGACTTTGCAATTTAGGTAGTATTAATTTAAAGGAGTATATACATGGTTTCAACACCTGTGGTAGGACTAAGGCACAGGGGAAAAAAAAAAGTCAAAGCCAGTAAGTATCCATAGGAGGCAAAAAAGAGCAATTATTTATAAAACCAGACAGTGATAGGGAACAGTTAATCTGAACTAAGCTGATGGAAAACTGATAAGAGAGACTTACCAGATGTTATAGGACAAAAAGGAACAGGTATATAGTGTGAAATAATTCAACCAAACAAATTTTGAGCAATCACGCAATCTCAGTAGGATTCAAAATCACAGCTACAGAAACAGAATGAATACATCAATTCTTGGCTTGAAAGGCTGGAACAGCTTTGAAACAGACAGACAGAATCTGCCAGGAACTGCAGACTAGAAACAGAGGGCTCTCAGAAAGTAAACTTTTTTTTTTTTAAAATTGAGTCACTAAAGAATTCAGCAAGGCCCATGGTTGAGCTGGGAAAGCCACAACGATGTGTCATGGGGTGAGAGGGCCCCTAGCTGGACCCCAAGAAATCTCAGCTAAGAAAATAGTGGGAGTACTAGGGAGAATTCAAGATCCTGGACCTCCACCCCCAGCGACACTGTGGGTATACCTACCAAATGGATTGAAGTAGCTCAAGAGAGAAGCTCAGCATTTTCTTTTTAAGGGCAACAAGGGATTAGCAATAAATGCAGCCCAGCTAGAGACACATATCATGTTAGTGAACGAAGCCGCGTTTGTTTGTTTCCATGATAAATAAAATCATCAAAACCCTTGAAAGTGAAATGAAAAACTCTTGTGGAAACAAATGTAGAATAAATGTAAATCTGATGAGATTTTTCAGCAAAAAGAATGTGTTAAGTAAGTATATGGTGCTAGGTTAACTGAGTTCAAAACATGAAATCTTATAGGATAATTCTGAGTTGATAACTAAGAGTCTAAATTTCTTCCAAAAACAAGTGGTCTTCGCCTACGTCCCCTCACTGCAGGGACTTCCGTATGTGGGAGTCAATGCATCAGGACTACCAAGCACTTGTGCAACCACGCAGACTGAAGGGACCAATGGTTCTAAGATCATAAAGAAAATATTACAATCGAAGATTCATGCAGATAACCAAGAGCACTTTGACATAGCTTGTTTTTCAGAAACCTGTCATCCAATCACTACAATAACCTTGTCAACAGCTCAAAATTTTGTTTCTCTAGTTTTTTTTTAAAAAAAAAAAACTTATGCAATGTGGGCATTGCTGTCTGGACCAGTATTTATTGCCTGTTCCTAGGTGCCATTGAGGAGGCGGTGAGCTGCCTCTGAACCATTGCAGTTATACCCACAATGTTGTTAAGGGAGGAAATTTTAGGATCTTGGATATCGAGGAGGCTGTTGCTTGTATTAAACTGCTCTCTGATGAATCCCTAAATGTTTACCATAATATAGCTTACACTCATCTGCTACGCATGTATTCCAGACAGGATACCTTCATCCCTTGCATTCTTAACGCAGACTGCAGAAGAACAAACTATCACGGATTCAATCCACTACCACCGGCCAACCTCTTAGAAGTATGTTGTAATATAAAGATCCTGATCATGATGAAGCATTTTTGTCCTAAGTAACCAAGATATGCACATGAAATAAAGAAGGTAAATACAGAAAAGGCACATGAATTCAGTTGAAAACCCATACGCAAGAAAAGAGAGCAGCAAGGCATGAAATCAGAGCAGAAAAGCAGATGTAACTGGTTTGCAATAGAAGACAGCTTATAGGACAGATGAATTCAGTGAGTTGAGTTAAACTGTTATAATCAGAAAATGATAGATATCTTGAAGGTGATCCACTTTTTGGCACTTTGAGAACTCAGTCCAAAGGATTCTAAAAATTGGTACACTTGAGGTGCCAAGAAAAATACCTGGACTTCCTTTGTTAAAAAAGGTCACTGTAGCATAAAAGAGTGTTTCTGGAAGTCATGTGGTTTAAATTAACTTTTCATTTAATTGAAGTCATATGTTTGATCTTACGGCATTCAGGACTGTGGATATTTGATATTGCTTGAGTGCACAATCTGGGGTATAACCTATCAAGAGATAAGACACCCAGGTCAGCCTTTACCAACTTAAGAAACCCTCTGGAGGATCCCTTCTGAGAGCTAAAAAAACTGTAACAAGCTATTCTTCCTGAAAAACTTTAAGACATCCTCTCCATATTTTCTGAACAAACTGTACAAAAGGAGAGCCCAGGAACAACTGCATGGATCTATGACATCTGCCAACACGAGCAAAGAGGACAAACTGAAAGCTTTTTGGAACATTTTCTATTTTATCCCTTAATTCTCTCATAATTGGCCAAAATGTGTTTTTCCCCCTCCCCAAATTGAATCTCTCCAGAAAATTTATTTTTATTTCTCCCTAACAGCTGAGTTTGTGTTATTTAGAAGATAACCATCTATATTATTCAACTATATTGTTCAGTTTTGCATCTCATATAAGTCTTGTTTTGATATTATTGTTATTTGCAGGGAGGCGATAGCCAGGTGTTATTATCCTAGACTATTAATCCAGAGACGCAGGTCATATTCTGGGGATGGAAGCCCACATCCCATCATGGCAAAGTCTGAATTCAACCAAAATCTGGAATCAAGGGTCTAATGACGACCATGAAACTATTGTCAGAAAAATCTGTTGTTCTTACTGGTCTGACCTACACGCGTCTCCAGACACAGCAATGTTGTGGACTCTGAACTGTCCTCTGGGAGATTAGGCATGGGCAATAAATGCTTGCCTATCGAATGATGCCACGTGGCATGACTGATTTTTTTGTTAAAAAAAATTCTGCATTAAAAAAAACTGGGTTGATTGGATCTTTTAATTTTGAGCCTAAATGATTCATTTAAGTGGCCACATCAGCAACTGGGGAATAAATCTAAGAATTATCCTAGGACCAGTGGATTAAGTAGGAGCAGCGAGAAACAATACATTCCTCAGACCATGGCTGCAACAATATACAGAATGGATTTCACATGGGATGAAAATATGGTCCCAGCAGATGTTAATAGTGAAACCTGGCTTGATGAACCCTAAGTTTTATGTTTACAATTTTGATACCATTATGGTCAGTCAATGAACATATTCACAAGAGGCCATCATTATAATTTTTCCTCCTACATTGGAGAAGGCTGATAAATCTCCAGGACCTGATAATCTACATCCCAGAGTACTTAAGGAAGTGTCCCTGGAAATAGTGGATGCACGGTGGTCATATTCCAAGATTCTTGACACTCTGGAATGGTTCCTACAGAGGGGGGAATAGTTAATGTAACCACACTATTTAAGAAGGAAGGCCAAGAGAATGCAGAGAGTTATAAACCAGTGAGTCTGACGTCGGTAGTGAGGAAGATGCTAGATGCATCATCAAGGATTTTATTGCAGATCACTTAGCAACCAGTGGTAGAATCACACACAGTCGACATGGATTTCCCAAAGGGAAATCATGTTT